CAATCATTGCTGCACCTCAGCTACAAACAAATATCGGGCCCTGGTTATTTTGGCTGCCAGTCAGGTATTTCTTCATAGAAGTAATAAATACACTTACTTTTCTTCCCAGTCAAGACAACATGCCAGACCAATGGATTGTTCTGACCATTCAAACTGTCATCTAACAACTCTTCAATTTCTGATTTAATACTAATTCCTATTGGGATGGAAACACCGAAAACACGGATCTAAATACAACAGCAAATCCTGAAGTGGTTTTGCCACATTTTTTTATGTACTAAACCAATGTTATCCGTAATATCTAATAGATAATTAAAACGTATATATATCTATACATGAAGTATAGACACACGACAGCTTAGTGTTCACAGGTATTGGGGTTTCAAGATTATTTTTATGCATACATACGTAATATTATTTAACCTTGCATTTTCATGCCCATCACTATAAATAATTATTCTGAACTTCTAATGGGCACAATTTTTTGACAGGATAAGTGTTAAAAGTACTGTACTATAGTAATACATATGTTGTTTTCAGCACTGTGCAGAGTACTTTATATGTAAGTGAATCATCCATCATCATACAGAAGTCTTAAGTAAATTTAGGATTCCTGCAATACTATCACTTACTGTTTCAGAAAACAGTTTCTCTAATTTTAATTCTTACAACAAGCTCATTCTGCATATCCTTAACCAGAATAAATCATACTGCTTTAATACGTGCAAACAAGTGGAAGAGTAACAAGCTACTAACATCAGGCACATTAAAAAATAAATTTAACATTTCATTTAAGCATACCTTTCTTGCTGCAGTTTTCATTCACTAAATCACATAAGACAGAGTGAACCCTGGCATTAAAACTGATTAGCCAAAAAATAGAAATACTAGTTTCATGTGCTACCATTTCCAAAATCTGAAACAATGCATTAATAATAAATCTATAGCCACAAGAAAAGCTGGCATTCTCCGATGATATGAAAAAGTCTCTATGCATCTATTAATCACCAAGAGTCAAGTATGTGATACTAATCACTGTTCCATTCAACAACTACCTAAAGCAAACTTTTGACAGAAAGGTGATGGCAATCTGCCACCAGCTCCCAAAAAGAGTGTCTGCTTTCAGTCACATCCCTGTATCGACATTTCAATAAGTCAACAAATGTTTCAGCACCAAAACAACAGTGGCACAATGTTTCACATTCCTTATGTAGAAAAGATTACCACAGACCTCCATAGGATTTCTGGAATTAATGCAAAACAAAATCTCAAGCAAACGTGTTTTGCAACCCCAAATATAGTGAGTTTAGAAATAGTTGGTGAAAAACTGCTAAAGCTTGAAATTTTTTTGCCTCCAAGTGCATGTATCAACCTGTGGGCTGAAAGGAGTGGGAGACTAGAACATAGCTAAGTTAAAATTGCACCTCATCACAAACAAGCCTCACTATTTAATAAGGATGCACTTCAGAACCCCTCTCCAAATCAATACCAACCACGAACAAGATCTGTGCTACAGAAAGAACCTATTTTAAACCTAGCAGTCAAAGCAGTGAGTGAATTGAGATGTGCTGCAATATTTATGCAGCCATTATAATGCAAATGCGGGAAGGTATTAGAAAGGCTATTTGCATTGGTGCACAGCCCCTTCAGTCAGCGCACAATGCCGACAGAAAGAACAATTAGGATGCATGCATAACAAAAAGCCTCCGACCACAGGGTAGGCAGGTCCACTGAACCGGATACAACATCTACGGGATCAACGGGGCTCCATGGAAATGCTGCTTGCTGGATCGCACCGTGCCTCCTGTTCACACTTGGAATATGAAGCGTCCTTGGGCACAAAAGCACGCAGATGATTAGCACAGCAAAGGTGAGAGCAAGCTACAGCCAATTTAATGCGAGCACCAGCCTCGTGTCACACAAGACAGCAACTGGGCTGGAGCACAGCTCGGTCCCCAGGGCTGCTCCTCTCGGCAAAACCCCCCCACCACCAACACACAGCAGCAAACTTTCAACTTGGCTCAAAAATAATAAACAGAAAACGGGTACATACTTTCTTGTGGCAAAAAAGCCAAAAATAATGCTCTCCGGCACTGGTTGAGACAGAAAGGGAGGCAGGAGTGCAAACCAGGATCTAATGAACATCCACTCTGAGAACAGACTACGCTTTTGTAGAGAAAGCAAAAAGCAAACTAATAGACTCAAGTATTTACCTTTTTTTTCCAACATGTACACCTTGATGGAAAGACAATACTAAAACAACCAAGTATACAGGCAAACCAGATTGTTTTTAAAAGTTCTTTGACCGTGCATCCTAGTATTTATCTACACCAATTCACAGCCTCTTAATATATCCTCAGTCAGCATGTCTGCAATTATATGATGGGCTCTGTTCTCTCATTTCTCTGGTAGAGCAATACAGATAAAGTACCTCTTAAACTGCGACAATCTTAAAACAGTCTAAAATCACCACACGGCACAAACTCACATTTTTTAAAGAAAGTATAAACTGTCCATAATTCCTGTAAAAAAGACACATTACCTGGAGGTTAATGATATAAAAAAATCTTAGTAATTAAAATTCCGTTTTCATCCAGAGACCTGCCTATACTGAAAATGCCTTTATTGAACCAAATTTGATGTTGGAGAATTCCCAGATTTATAATAGTATGTGATGCATATTTCGCAACAGAGTCAAGGCAAAGCAATGCAGCAAAAAACAAGTGAATTAAGGTCAATGGCTAATACAGCAAACATTACCTTGCTTATTATAACAACCTGTTACATTTTATCCCCGTCCATTTTGTAACACTGCAAGACCACTGTATCAAACAGACTACACTATGTCAGCCAGTACAATTTCCACGAAAACGAGAGTTCTTTTTTATCTGTACCATCAGCTGTAACTGGCTTTTTAATCTTCACTACTGCATCCCCCCCAGCCCTCTCACATGCATACAAACCCACCAAAAAGCAAGAGGCAGAAATATCTCCTCTGAGATGCAGTTGCATGCAGTAAAAATAAATACAAGGTATTACGACAACAGAGCAAAAAGCAAGCCTCATTTCAATTAAAAGAGCATCCACTGAAAAACAAAATCAAAAGCAACGAGCCTCGAAGCGTTCTGGGTGGGAAATGCCACCGGCCACACTGAACAGGAGGGCATGGCGGGCTGGACACGAGGACATGGCACCAGCTTTTCCTGCACCCAGGAACAGCAGAGATACCCCAAACCCAGGCGCTGGGGAGGGCAGGGGCAAGGTGGGCACCAGGGACAGCCTTCCCAGGGGCTGTGGTGGGACACGGGAAGGGACAACGCTGCCTTGTCGCAGCACAGAAGTTTTCATCTTTGCTCAGACACAAAGGAGAACCTTCTCCTAGAGAGAAGCCACCTCCTAGCACCCACCCAAATTCTCCACAGTGATATTTTGGAACCACTGAGGTTTCTTAAGGCAGTTTTATTTCCTTGATACCATACTAAACCTTCCCAAAACAGAGCTTTGTTATTTACTGTGCTTCCTCAGCCTTGTCAAGAAGGGCTCGCAGAATGCGATCCTTCTTTCAAACATGCAGAAGATGCTTTGACAGCCCTGATTCAATTACCATGCATGAGCACCATGCCCACATGCAAGCGCCTACATCCACCTATTTCACGGCTGCTGGACACAGCTGCCGGCTCGCACGGTGACAAGCCAGGACTGCCACACACACCCCCAGCAGGAACATGCTTTTCTAGAAAGCCACAGCCAAGTCACAATCAATCCAAGGGTTTCCTAAAAGGCACACGCACAGCAGTGATCTTACGAGCAATTAATTTCTGCGCATAGGCTAACAGCGCAGGAAGACAGCTGGAGAAAATATTCCTCGTCTGAAGGAATCCCTTCAATCACACAAAATTCCTGGAGGAGAATACACCCGTCAGTGCGATTTAAGTGTCAACATAACAAAGGAACGCCCCTCCCAGCACCTCCTGCCTTACAGATATGCCACGCTGGAAACGAAAAACTACACTGGGAACAGCAGCTACTCACAACCAGAACTGTTCATGGACCCTCCCTTGCCATCACCACAAACAAAAAACGCTGAGGATTGTTTCTAGAAAGAGCAGATAGAGGGACGTGGAAGAAGACAGCATCCTCTTTGAGGATCCCTCAGTATTCCTCAAAGGAAGGCTGTAGACACAAGGAGAGCTTTGTCTGAAATAATCTTTGTGTATTATAAGATTACATATGAAATTAGTTTTGCTTAATATACACGCTTTGCCTTTCGACATGTACAGAAATGCTGATGGCCAACAAATAGCCTAAAATTAAAGGAATACGGCTTCAAATTAGTAAAATTATTTCCCATTTTACTCATCCAGAGCAAAGAATAATTACACAGAAAACAAAACAGTGAAATCAAAAACATTCAAGGGGAATTAAGATAAGGGTGTTACTAAAATTAAAATGTATGCACAGTAGTGTAATAACAAATTCATAAGATACTGTAAATCTTTCTCAAAACCAGACTAGGTTTACATCAAGATCACCATACAACATATGCCTGCTGAAATATGCCTGTAAATAAGTGTGATTTAATTTGACCAGCACCTACTTTAAGCCCTTGATTTTATAAACAGAAGTATATTATAGTGACTAATGATTAAAAAAATAAAACAAACAACACAACAACACACAGTTTAGGAGGTAAAAAGAACAATATATAAAGTCAAAGATGCAAACAAGAAACAGTAGAAAATTAAGACACTGAAGGTAATCACCAAAACTATCTTAACTTCTATTCTGATAGTAAAAAAATCTCCAAGTACTGCAGCAATGACAATACACACAATTATAACTCTTGATCATTAATATTCTGCCTCAAAAGTCTGCACATGTGCAGAACTCTATGCTTCTACAGTTCCTTCTCAAAAACAGAGCTTAAAAATTACCACTATTATTTCAGCACTTCACAATTGTTTTCTCACACACTGCAACTTTTCATCCCACGTCCATACCTGCTCCTAAATAGGATGGACAAGTGAAGCAGCAACACAGTTTCACCAAACTTCAGCTCTGCTGAACTGCGGTGTAGCTCACGCCCAGTCGCAATTTTAGTCAAGGCGGCCGTTCACCTTACTAAGGTTACTACAGCTTTTGAAGCATTTCCTGGGGAAAGACACGAACAACTCGGTGAAGACGCCTTCTACGGCCACAAATATACGCGGGAAGCTGTCACACCGCTTTTCTCTGTCACACCTCTCTGCTTTAAATACCGGGAAAATCACCTGGCTAGACAGGAAGGCGACGACTTTTGAAACGAGGTCCTGTCTCTGCGGCTCCATCAGAGCTGCCACAATAAATACATCGAGTGAAACAGGAAAAGAGCCTCACGCCTGTGAGGAGGGTGGGGGACCGCGCCGGCCCGGGCAGAGGCAGCGGTAATCATTACCCGCACGCCGGTAATCATTACCCGGAGCGCCGCCGCCACCACGCACAGCCCGCTCCAAGCGCTCCGTGCCAGCTCCCGGCACCGAGAGCTGCCGGGGAGGAGGTGAGCCTGCAAGACGGAGCTTCCTCCTTTCTTTTTGTTGTTATCGTTGTTGTTGTTGTGGCGGTCGCTGCCATCGCCGGGCAGCCCCTCGGCCGAGCCCCGCGGGGCCGATGGCCGCCCCCGGCCCGGCCCGGCTCGCCCCACCTGCGCCGGGCCCGCGGACCGGGCGGGGCAGCCCCGCCGGGGCGGGCACGGGCTCCCCGCCGGCCGCCCCCACCTGCGCCCCGGCCCTCCCCGCCTTTGTGCCCGCGGCCCCCGCCGCCCGCTGTCAGCCGCCCCGGCCGAGCCCCCCGCCCGTACCGTGCGGCTCCGCCATCCTCCCGCGGCGCGCTCGGCACCGCTCCGCGCCCGGCCCTGCCCTGCCGGCCACCGTCTGTGCGCACCGAGCCGTCACGGGACCGCCCGCCCACGGCCCTCCCGCGGCGGCGGGGCGGGCCCGCCGAGCGCGGCCCCAGCGCTTCCAGGTCACGGCGGAAGCGCGCGTTGCCCGTGGCGACGGCGGGAGCGGGGCCGAGCCGGGC